ATATAGGGTGTCCCATTAAAAAAATTAAATTATATTTTGTTGGAGTCGTCCTGTATATACAATTCAGCCTGTTATTACATTTTTAGTCGGTACAGATAGAACAACATAGCTTTTAAAAACTTTTTTTTGTATTTGCAATAATAATGAAAATAAATAGCGGTCAAATTATAATGAAAAACCCTGTACATTCTTTTTTTTTTTCGAAAACAAAGCCCCAACACTTAAAGTTGTTCTTACGAAATTAAGAGAAAACGAAGAAATTCCGTGAAACTTTAAAAAAATTTTATAGGGCCTAAAATTTCGTTTTGTCAAACAGTGTAGGAAATCCATTTTAATTGAGAGGTCAGATTTAGTGTCCTGGCGACGGCGTTATTTACGAAATATTAATAATAAATATACTTTATTGTCAGAGAGAATACATGATTCCATGGACAAAGTTTAATACTAATGGTATAATAAAACAAATAGATATCAACGTTCACGTTATTAAAAAATATTAAAATTGATTACAATAATTAAAAAAATATATATTAAGATGTAAGTAAAAAATTTTTACCTTACTTTATCATCATATATGGTATTATTTTATTTTAGTCTCCCTGATGATGGAAATAAACATTTCCGAAAGCTTGGAATAAACTTAAAAAAGTAATCTTTCATTTGCTGCATTACCCACAAATTACTGGTTTAATTATATATATATAAACAAATCCACAGAAAAAAATGCCTAATTTTAAAATTCGTCATTATAAAACTCCAACAGATTGTAATATGGTTTTCCTATTAATATATTTTTTATAGTATTCCTAAATAATGATGGAGATCTAATTGTTTTTAAGGCATCCGGTAGATGATTAAATATTTTAGGACTTTCATAGATTATTGAATTCTTAATTAGAGATGAATGTGGAATCGGAAGTAATAAGTTATTATTTTGTCTAGTGTTGTAATGTCTCGACTGGGTAGGTAGATTTAAAATTTGTTTGTGTATCATACAAACAAGTCTCTAGAATAAATAAACTAGTTAAAGTCAATATTTTATACTTGATAAATAAAGGTTTGCAATGATCTCGGTAATCAGATTTGGCTAGGAATCTTATAGCTCTTTTTTGTAAAATAAATACCGAGTTAAGGAGATATTGTGAGCAGTTTCCCCAGAATACAATACCATACCTTAAATGAGTGTCTATTAGTGAAAAGTACACATTTCTTGCTGACAAACTTCCCAGCTCTTTAGCAATAACCCTAACTGCAAAGCACCCGGATGCCAGTTTTTTGTTTAAGATTGCAACATGTTCATCAAACTTTAGTTGGTTATCGATGTAAAGGCCTAAAAATCTGGAGCAGGGTGTATTTATAATCAACTGTTCGCCAAGACGAAGTTGATCATATGCAAATTTAAAAGTTAATATGTTTGTTTTGTTTGTGTTAAGACTTAAAAAATTGGAGTCACACCAGTTTTTGATTACGTGAAGGTCATGTGACACAGTATGTTTTAGAGTATCCGTATCCCTTCCATGCCAGAGGAGAGTTGTATCATCAGCGAACAACGTAAATTTTCCGGAGATGCTAATCTTAGTTAAATCGTTAATATAGATTAAGAAAAGAATTGGTCCCAAAACTGATCCCTGTGGAACGCCGTGTTTAATTTCCGAAAATTTTGAAAATTTATCAGATACCCTTATTATTTGTATTCTGTCGGATAAATAGCTTCGAAACCAGTGCCATGTTGCATTTCGTAAACCATAAATGAATAGTTTTTTTAAAAGTATATCATGTCTGACGCAATCAAAAGCCTTTGAAAAATCACAAAAGACTGATGCTAACATTTCACCCTGATTTAAGTTAGAGTATGCGTATTCTAAAAAAGAGAACATAGCATCTTGTGTGTTCTTCGAAGCTTGAAAGCCAAATTGACATGTAGCTAAAATTTGGTGTTTCGTTAGGAAATCGACCATCCTACTTTTAACGAGCCCTTCAATTATTTTAGATAAAGTAGAAAGTAATGAAATTGGTCTGAAATTCGAAGGATCTTCCAAGCTGCCCCCTTTGTGTTGTGGTACAACAATTGCAGTTTTCAAACATGCCGGAAAAGTTCCATTAATAAACGATAGGTTAATTGCGTCCACTAACGCATACAGAGTACTATCTGGAAGATTATGAAAGATTTTTATAGAGATTCCGTCATATCCTGCAGCATTTTTGTTTTTTATCGCTGCTATGTTTTCTTTTAACTCCATTATATTAGTGGAGTAAAGGTGACAAGCATCTGTTATATTCACGTCTTCGATATATTTTAAAGGATCATGTTTAACAGTGAGCTTAGAGGTGAGCTCATCAGCAATTGTCGAAAAAAACTCGTTAAACTGATCAGGACTTACATTGTAGGAGGCTTTAAAAGAATTTGTCTTTCCTCGAAGCTCGTTTATAATTGCCCAATTCTCTTTTACGCTATTACTGGAGTTTTATATCCTGCTGTTGTAATATCTATCTTTGGCCAACCTCAATGTTTTTTTGTAGATCTTTTTATATTTATTTACATAGGAAATGAAACCCTCATTTGTTGTATATTTGCGGATGACCAGTAGTGATCTCATATTCCTGGCCGAAGTTTTGATTCCAGTTGTTATCCATGGCTTTTTCTTTTTATCTTTAATTTTTATGATCGGAAATGCTTTTTCAAAATTTTTTGAAATCATCTGGTGTATCATTGAAAGTGGATCAAGGTTATATGATGAAATAACCCAATTAGTTCTATCACATTCAGTTTTAAATTTTTTGTAGTTTTTCTTACTGAATATCCTACCGAATCTATATTTTTTTGTTTTTGTTGTATTTAAATGAATGTTTACCAGGATTGATTCATGATCAGAAAAATCTACAGAATTCACTTTACATAATACATTTTCCTTATCAAAATTTGTACAAAAGTAGTCTATTAACGTAGCCGAATCCTTTCCGTAACGGGTAGCTTCTCTAACAAATTGCGTTAAATCAAAGGAAATGAATAAGTTGTTTACGGCCATTACAATATTATTTCGTTCACTTAAATAGTCTATGTTTAAGAGTTTAGAGTCGTTAAAAAAAATATATACTATCTCGATGAAACGTGGGTTAATGCTGGACATACGGTATCTAAGATATGGCAAGATACTTATCTAACTAGTCATCGCCAAGCTTTTATAGAGGGATTATCTACAAGTTTAAAAGCACCATCAGGTAAAGGACAGCGCCTAATTGTTACCCATATCGGAAGTGACAGTGGATTTTTGGAAAATAGCGCTCTTGTGTTTATATCGAAAAAACAGGAGACTACCACGAGGATATGAATGCGGAATGTTTTGAAAAATGGTTTACTGAAGTATTACAGCGTGTAGAACGAAATTCAGTTATTGTACTAGATAACGCTTCTTATCACAGTCGACGAGTTGAACGCATTTCGATAATGTCTAGTAGGAAAGCGGATATGCAAACCTGGCTGCGGGATAAAGCAATAACATTTACTGAGGAGATGCTTAAAGTGGAACTAATGGACCTAATAAAGGAACACCGCCATAAATATATTCAATATGTTGTCGACACAATGTCTCGTGATCGTGGCATTACGGTACTAAGACTTTCCCCTTATCACTGCGAATTCAATCCTATTGAACTAATTTGGGCGCAAGTGAAATTGTTTGCAGCTCGAGAAAATAAAACTTTTAAAATAGCCGACGTTCAAAGTTTATTAAAAACCGGTATAGAACGTATAAAACCTGAAGATTGGCAGAATGCTATTTCCCATGTAATTAAGGAAGAAAATAATATGTGGCGCTTGGACGGTATGATCGAAACGGTAGTAAAACCTTTAGTGATAACTTTAAGTTCCCACGATAAAGACGATTCCAGTGATAGTTCTGCAGAATCAATGGATTACGAAACTTCATAGATTTAGAATTCAAGTAAGTAATACCAAAAGCTTAATTTACATATTTTTATAATAAACAAAATACAATTATAAACATAGATGAATTATTATAACAAAAATAGATAACCAACCTACTTTCATCTAGTAATATTCACAAATACCCATTTAATTTTCCAATAGTGTTTCTACGCCACTGGCATAATATTTACATATTTTAACAATAAACAAAACAAAATTATAAACATAAATGATTATTACTACAAAAATAGATAACCAACCTATTTTCATATAATATTATTTACTATTACCGCATTTAATTTGCCAATAGTTTTTATACGCCACTGGCGTATAAAAATGCATTTATGACTAGTTAGCACGTGATGCCGATAACTTCTGCAGTTTTAAGCGCGTGATTCCATTCATTATGCTCTGGATAGTATTATTGTTGTACGTGAACAGGGAGGAATCACCTTTTTCAATATTTTGTCCGAGTATAACATAGATATTTTCTAAATCAGAATATGTAATATCTCTTGTTGATAGTTTTTAGTTTTATTTTTGAGTAGGTATTATTGTAAATGATATGATTATTGTATAACTTTGTACTATATCATTGTATAATCTGGTGTACACTTTTTTGGACTAGTCCTCTATGTCCCGAATAAAAAAAAGTCAAATGACTTCGAATTTCGCACTCTAAATGTCTTCTTTCTAATTTTACATTACAAATATACTAAAAATCTTAAAATATCTGGGTGTGCCGTTGATTAAGCAGCATCAATGATTGTTTGGTAACAACATAAAAACAACAATGTTAGTTTGTAAAATTTTCGATTATATTCCCAACTCTAGTGCAAACATTTGGATTTCGAGACAAAAAGGGACCTTAAATAACCTGCCACCGACCCAACACCAGCTGACTCTCTACTTCTTCGACCCTATAACTAATTCCGAGCCGAAAATAACGTTTAGTTTATACAGGATGGAACAAAATTAGTAAATTTGTTGTTTCACCAATTCTATAAAGAGTGATATATTAGCGATCAAAATATTTCAAAATTATTCAATTTTAAGTAAAATTGTCATCCTCACAATGTCACAAAGTTTTATTAACTTCTACTTATCTGTAAAGGTAGAAGCACTTGTAAGACTTCTACATAATTTTTCGAAAATATGGAATTGTGACCAAGCGAGTCTTTTAAAATAAAACAATGAATTTTATTTTGGAAAGAACACTTTTAACAGGATAATAATTAAATCAATTCTACATGAGGATAATCAAAAATTAACCCAAGGACCTAAGGGTTGTTTTAAACCTGGTTATTTTGAATAGTTTATATTTTTAATGCCATTAAAATGATCTCTTGTAATATTGTTTGTAAATGTTTAATTAGATTTTGCTTTATTTAGTTTTGTAAATGTAATCACTGCATTAAAATGATGATAGGAGGCCATGCCATGAAAAGTTGACAGCTTTTATTGGCTTGTACTTTTAAATTATTCAAAAATTTGCCACTAGGTATCCGATGAGGTATTAATGAAATGAAACTGTATGGTCAATAACTAGATTTTTTTCTAAATTTGCTACATAATATTAGATTTACATTTTATGCAGTGGCAGCTCCTGGCCAAAATATTGGGGGTTTACAATGACAAAATATAGATCTCAGTACATATTTAGGTAAAATACTTTCAGTGTTTATAATATACCTTCCTAAATTTGTACTGAGATTTATATTAGGGCATTGTGAACCCCCAATATTTTGTTCAAAAGCCGTCACTGAGTTTATGTATAAATTCATAAATAATTTTCCTTAGTTTATTGTAAATTTAATAATTTGAAATGTTCCAATGACATCTGCCCAGACAGCACATCAAATCCTTTGGATATCTACTGAACATCCCAATATCCACTGAATGTTCAGTTCATCGTAGATATCTATTTTATATCCATGAAATGTAATTTAATAGACATGAAAATGTCCATAAATAATAGTAATTATATAGCAAATTATTAAAAAATTACGCCATTGTGCTCGCCATTGTGGCTAATAGTACCGTTCAGATATTTAAAATTAATTTTTTTAAGGTGTATTCAATATCCCATGAACATCCACTAAATATATCAAAGTCTAGGCGCGAACGCAAACCATCGTGGATATCCACTAGATGTTATTTGATTCTGCTTACTAAGTATAGATGGCGATACCACTATCGCATCTACTCATGCTCGACCCGCCGTAATTGAGTTCGATCGAAATGTGTCCTAATCACTTCATTAGAGACTGGAGTCGAGAATTTTCATTTATTGCTGAAGAGTCCTAATAAGGATGACTCTCCTTAGTGGGCAAAATCAAAGACAGAGTGGTGAACATATTTTTTATCTCTGCTATTTTCTTTCGACGTTATTCAATAATCATTGGTTACTTATGAACCTCTACTAAAGATACCCATAAAATATTTTGCTGAATATCCAAATATCTTCTATATCCTGGGATATAGACGGACATTTGGTTGGATATCCATATTGGATATATTGAATATCCACAAAATATATTCTGTGGATATCTCTGTGATTTCTTGTATGTTCTGGAAGATACCCATTAGATATTTTGCTGAATATCCATTAGGATATCTTCTACATCCTGGATATAGACGGACATTTGGATATCCATATTAGATCTACAGAATATTTCTGATATCCTGTGGATATATTGGATATCCACAAAAGATATTCTGCGGATATCTCTGGGATTTGGTGTGTTGTCTGGGTGGTGCTGCATTTTTGAAATTGAACCCCTGATGTTCATCAGTATGTACCTATTGTTAACAATTTATTCAATTTTAGAGAAGTAGGTAAATATTAACAATTTCTACATAAGTTTCACTAATACACACAAATTTCTGAGCATTCAATTTAGAAAAATTTAATTCCATCAACAAAATTTGTGTTAATATCGTTTAGATTTATAAAAAATTAGATACCTAGATTAAATACATTGGAAATTGAGTTTCATAGACAAGAATAAGATGAAAACATACACATGATCTGAATAAATTGGGTGGTTAAGGGGGTTTAAATATTAAAAAAATTAACTTGAAATTTTTAGTATACATCAAGCTTTATAAGAAAAAGAAGTCCTTTGATTTTGAAAAATATTTGATTAAAAATGGGGTGGTTTAAGGAGGGTTAAAATTAAAAAATAAATCATAAATTTTAAAAATGGTCTGATATATTATTAAATAGTCCTTCCTTTTAATTAATTTTTTCATAAAAAGTAAATATTTTGTACGGTATTTTGAGAAATTGAAATTAATAACACACTTAACACAAAAAATAAAACAAAAATCTAAACACCTGTTGTTTTTTAAGTAATAATCAAAATAGATGCATAATTTTAGGGAAGGGAGGAAAGTCTGGTAAATATTAACATTTTTTTACATTATTTCAATAGTACACACAAATTTCATAGCATCAATTTAGAATAATTCTATTTAATTAATAAAATTTGTGTTAATATTGGTTAGATTTACAGTAATTAGTAATTAGATAAGTTATTGAGAATAGAATTGTGTAACTGAAAAAAATTATGATATTTTTCATTGGCATACCTTGTTATTACAATTTTTTTGTACATAGGTACATTGGACTTTTTTTTCTAAAAAATATATTAAATATTGTCTAATATTTGAGTGGCACAAATAAGCTTTAACAAAAGGCAGAAGTGGTTAATTTTTCGTTTTAAGTAGGTAGTACATATTAAATAAGCCTAAAAACCGCTTTGGAAAGTTTTGATTTGAACACCGTATACAAATCAAAAATTTAGATTTTTTTGGTTCTTTTAGGTAAATGTCAAAATTTAAGTATAATTTTTAGAAAGAGGTAGTAAAATTTCATTTAATTTCATTTAAAAATGAATATACCTATTTGAATTAAATGTCTATGTTTTATTGAATAAGAGCGTTAAGGTACCCACCCATGAGGTTATATTGATTCTATATACAGGTGTATACGCATGTTTTTCTTACTTACTAAGCATATTATTAAAAAGTAGTCAAATAAAGACCCTTCTATTAATAAAATTAAACGTCAAAATATCGTACCGACCAAGTTTCGACCTTGACCTGCATCTTATCATTTACCATTTCGCTTTTTTCGAAATAATTTCACAATCTTTTTATAGGTACCTAAATTATTGGTAGTAAATAGTATGTTTAAATGTTATCAGTTAGGGTGGACACCTTATATTATAAGCAACGTGGTGATGAAATTAGATTATAACTTTTTGAAGATACCTTTTGGTAATTTTGACTAAAAAATAATATACCTGTGATGTAAACGTCATTATTATGAAAAACTATTCGAAAAAACCCAAGGTACAGAGCTACAAAAAGTGTTTTCATCTTGTATCACGTGGTCATTCATTTGATGGTTTTTAAAAATTAATAAAATAGTACCTAATATAGTTTAAATTAGTTTCACGTAAAAAAAAATTGAATCTGTTTTACTGGTGTGCAAATCCATTTTAGTGTGTGGGGAAATTTATAAACTGGGTAGGAAATGGCTTGAGGTAGTAAATTTTAAAAATGGTTTGATAAATTATTAAATTTTTTCATAAAAAGTAAATATTTTGCACGTTATTTTGAGTAAAATTGAAATTAATGTTCAATAACACACTTAAAACAAAAAAACAAATCAAAAAATCTAAACAACTGTTGTTTTTTTGAGTAAAAATCAAAATGGATGCAAAATTTTAGGAAAGGGTTAGTAAAATATGATAGAATTCATTTAAAAGAATAGTTGGACTGTCTAATCACCTTGTAAAGACCAACAAGTATACCTTTTTTAAAGCCTTTTCAAAATAATTAATCATTTTTCAAAAATGTCCATTTTTAAACAAAAAATCTGAAGTAAATACTAGATTAACACGCCAATTTAGAACGCCCTGTACATGTAATGCAACAAAAAAGCCGGTATTCGTTTGTATCACCCAAAAAAACTTTATTTCACAAAATTTGGGTATATTTACTCAAAAAATATTTGAATTATCGTAAAAATATTATATTATTAAATGGTCCTTCTTTTTAATTAATTTTATCATAAAAAGTAAAAATTGTGTACGTTATTTTGAGTAAAATTAAAATTAATGTTCAATAACACACTTAATACAAAAAAAAAATCTAAACACCTGTTGTTTTTTAAGTAAAAATCAAAATTGATATATAATACTGTCTAATTTTAGGGTTAGTAAAATATGACTGAATTTATTTAAAAGAATAGACTGTCTAATCACCTTGTATTGACCATTAATTAAATAATAGATTTATTTATTAAAAGTGCTAAGTTACCACATGGATTCTGATTCTATATATCAAACATTTTAGAGTCAGATGGCCATTGGACTCTTGAACAGGTTGAGTGACATTACAGAATTAGATACATATAAAAATAAAAAATATACAAATATGTGCAAACAAAATTAAATTAAATAACTAAACACAAACCAATATAATAAATATATTGTGAATGTTTTAGCAAAGAGTTTTGGCTTTTAAAATGATCATAAAACTCTTCTAGAGTACCTATAAGTAGTTGAGTCACTTTCCTGTTGAAATTAAATGTCAAAATATCCTCCCGACCAAGTTTCGTCCCTAATCTACAACATTAGCATCCCCAAGACAAAACAACTGATCATTTACCTGTTGGTATGATGGTGCATGTGGGCTGCGCCGTCGTATTTACATCCAAATTAGTGTACGAACTGGGACAATCCCCGTAAAACGGTTCCCCCCCGCTGCTAGAGGTCACCATGTCGAGCACCTGTAGCACCATGGCACCCCCAACGCCTGCCGTCGTGTTTTTAATTTTTGCCAAAAAAAAAATTAACTCCTTATTAGATTAGAATTACGTCACTGAACGTTTTGAAACCGGCGCGACTGTCAATTGTCGATCACTTACCGCACAAGAGCGCGCTCTGTCCTCAACTGGAAGTGCGATCGGCTGTTGTCTGATCGCGGCCTCCTACTCTCTACGGACACAGCGTCTTTGTTTTCGGGCTGGGTAGGGGAAGCAGCACCGCTCCCCCTCCCTCTCACAGAAGAGCTCGACGCTCGCGAGTTTGATTCACAGATACACTTCGAGGGATTTTAATGAGTTTTTTTCGGGTTTGTTTATGGAAGGTTAAGTGAAAAAATAGATAATTAGCGTTTAACTGTATTAAATCGGTAACCTGGACGTCATTGTTTTATATAAATAATGATTGAAAGAACCATTTTTTCATTATTGTCTTACGACTCATTCAAGCGAAGACAATCATATGACAGATAGAGAGAAAAAGAAGAAGTGCGCAACATTCGGCGAACGGAAAGTGATGACAAAGATCACCGTTATTTCCCAATCTTGTGTCTTGTATTAATAGTTGTAACAATTTATCAGAATACTAATAAAAGGTTTTAATGTCTATTTATGAAACCAGTTACGAAAGCCGCATTTTATGTAACAAGTGAATATTTGCGGAACGAGCAGAGCGAGGTCCCACAGTATGAACGAGTTACATAAAACCGTATTTCGTAACGTCTTACATACAATAATTTTCCTAATTTTGACTAGATTATTTATAAAATTGTGTTTTGGTTAAACATTACTGACATTTAGGCAACCAATATTACTTTCTTGTATTTTTACAATTAGAACATCATTATTCATTATTTGTTTATTAAAGTTATTTAGTTTTTAAGAAGTGGGTTATTTTGTTGTGTATTGCGTTTTAATTATTTTGTGCTGGTTTGGACTGGAAAATAAGGACAAAAACAGTATTATTACTGGGTTGTAAGTTTAACCAAATTCTATTTTTATAAGTCAACCTGCCCTTCTTTGCTATAAAATTTTAATAATAATGTATATTATTGATTTTAAAACCAAAAAGGTGTATTTTTGTGTTATTTTCGCAACTTGTAACATAATGAATTTTTCGAAACCAGTTTCATAATGTTCCAATATTATGCAATTGGTTGCATTTTGTTTGACACTGCTATTACAAAAAATATCACTTTATATGTCAAAATTAGAAAATAGATATTATTTAACCAATCCTTTACATATACGTCCTCTAAAGATTTTGACGCAGTTTTATATAGGGGACAGTGGCGTATACAAGGGAGTAATGGAGTTTGTGGGTTTGTATTAGGTTCGGGTTCACAATATACAACGCACGCATATAAATTACCCCTCCCAACTGAGAGGAGTAAGGTATTTTAAAAGACTAATACTGGTATTACCACAGATATAGAAAAATACAGATATAACTGTTTGCAAATCAAATTTTCAACTTCAATCATATGTTTTTAAATTTATATTAGGATACTCCTACTAATAATAGTATATTACACACCGAGGTGAGAAGAGTTTCATTCCTGTCGTAAGATTAGTTAGATCACCGAGACGCGAAGCGTCGAGGTTAGCTATGATCTCGAGACAAGAATGAAACTTCCTACCGAGGTTTGTATACTATTTCATTTACAACCATCATATTTCGATCAAAGTTAATAAATCTCTGTTTTGTTCTGAACATACCTAAAATATTACATTTAACGACAAATTACCAAGCGCGCGGTTTTCTCAGAATAATCAAGTAGGTAAATATATTTTTACTGTGATTACGGGGTAAACAACTGTCACCAATATAAATAAATGTCAGATAAAGCCGGATATTAAATTCGCGAATAATAAATATCAATGAGTAGTTTGTTATATTTTAGATCATTGTTGTTTTTTATTGTTTGCCATTAAATAGGTATTATAAAATTTGTCAAACACTGTGATATTTTTTTTAAATATAAAAAATATTCATCTAGAATAGATGAAATGAGGGCGGGAAGTAGAGGTGTGTAATGTGACACTTCCCAACCTTCAATGACGTTAGTAATGACAAAATTACATATATGGTTGTAAATAAAAATTGATTCAATATCAAGAAGAGGTCGAAATCTGTGCCTTTAATTAGTTCTAGCGAAAATAGGCAAAATAATTAGTGTTCTGGCATGCTGTAATAACGAAGAAGTATTTATTCCTCCATTTTCCACTTTTAAAGGAAGAAACAGAAAGGTCGAATTTTTAGACGGCATGCCCACAGGCTCTGCCATTTATATGTCGAAAAAAATCTGCTTACGATGACTCTGACATATTCATTCTTCTAATGGCTACAGACTCACTTCGTTCCGAGAAAAATGCCCGGTATTGGACATACTTCACATACAACCAATTGGGCAATGCATGAATATGCTGACCAACATTATATTATACTCCTATGTTTGGCGACGCACACTACACACTATTTACAACCAATGGATCGTTTTTCAAATCTTTAAAGACTCATTACTACAATGTACAACCATTTCGTAAAATCTAACGCTTCTTGTAAACTAAGTAGGCTGCAATGAGGGGAAATTACTAAGTGAATCATGGAATAAAGCAGCAACTGTTGGAAATGCAGTATCAGCATTACGTTCTTCCAGATTAGGCCTTCATACATAATTCGATATGCAATGCTACAGAAGGCATTTCGCAGAATGTATCAGTAAAACTAATTGGGAACGCCATTGATCAAGCAGAAGATAGCACTTCTAAAACAAACTTTGAAGAAGATCCCGCTAATGAACAGGAAACACCTGGAAAAATGTTGGATGCCACAACGCCCATAACTGTTTTAAATGTGAGAAAACGTGTCAAATGACTTGCAACTGTACTAAATTTAGCAGAAAATATAGAGACAAGAAAACAAATTAACCAATCTAGGCAAGAAAAAGAACAAGCTGGAAGAAATAATATTAGTGTCTTCTTTTGACACCGAGTCAGAGGAGGAAGAAGAAGTAGTCTTAAATGACGAAGAAGAGACTGAAAACGATTTAGATTATGAAAACAAATGTGCTGGGTGCAAAGAGGATTACAGGATCACCAAGGAAAAAGAAGATTGGATTAGGTGTCTCATATGTAGCCGCTGGTTGCACGAAGGATGCACATGCCTGTCTTCTATGCGGAAAACCCAGCGATAAGCAAAAAATAGCTTTATGTTAATGCTTGTCCATCTCTCCTCATAGACCAGTAATTAAAAAAAAAAACTAACAATAAGATATTCATATAACAATATTCATTGTATTTAAGTACCCATTTTTTTTTATTTAAAATTTCTAGAAACAAGACAAAAGCGCAATATTTTTACTATTATTCATAATTATTGACGTAGTACCTATAGTGTAGTAAAGTCTTGGAAATACCCCAAGTCCAATGTCGGATTGGTACCTCCAAGGCCTATCGGTCCACCATTTTGTTCCATGGTCCTATACCTTGAAAAGCAAGAAAAAAGTCCTCTTTGCACACTGATGCTTCTTCTGAAGGTTTCTTCGCATTTGTTGTTCTCAATGGCTCACTGACTGAACGAGGACCCAGAAAACAAATTAACCAATCTAGGCAAGAAAAAGAACAAAGAAAAATTAAGAAGAAACAAACTGGAAGAAATACTATTAAACCAATTTCCTTCTTTTGACACCGAGTCAGAGGTGGAAGAAGATGTAGTCTAAAATGACGAAGAAAAGGCTGAAAACGATTTAGATTATGAAAACAAACGTGCTAGGTGCACATAATCACCAAGAAAAAGAAGATTGGTGCCTCATATGTAGCCGCTGGTTGCACCAAGGATGCACATCCTTCATAAACTCATGTCTTCTATGCGGAAAACACAGTGCGAGAAAAAAAAAGGTTAAGATTAATGCTTGTCCATCTCTCCTGATAGACTTGGCCCGTCTCTCTTACACGATAGAGGCGAGATGGACTTTTGCAGAGTTTTACTTTTTAATTAAATATGAAATATGTTTAGTTTGGTATATCTCAAGTATGTGCCAAAGAATATTTTTGTGGACCTCTATTTTTATAGAAGAGAAGGTGTAAAAATGGAATATGCATGTAATATGGAATACCTCAGTTTTGACTAAACCAAATGCCGCCCCCTATCGAAAACCGGCTAAACTTATGCTTGTTTGCCATCTTTATTGTAGGCCATCTACCATCTACCCCGCGCCGTTTTAGTATGGTTTTGGTTCTTGAGGTGTGCACATGTGAATTTCGCGTCCTGAAACGTATTACACGTAAGTGAATATGCAAGCCTAATTTTTTTTATTTGCTTGTTTTTATTTAAATATTTGTTACGATGCCACTGTATATAAACTAAAGTTTAAGATGACGTTGCATTTGTTTAGTTTTTTGTTATGATAGCCTAGATCTAACCTGAAATATTGGTGACATGGGTTGTTGGTAATATGGAATACTAGTATTCCATATTTACACCACGTTTTTATTTTTGTTAGGATGCCACGAAAAACTGAACGTCCGTCTTGCAATAATAAAAGAAAGCAATACAAGGAAGAAGATATGGCTAGGGCCATCCAGGCGGTGAGAGAAAAAACAATGGGATATCTCAAGGCATCCAAAACCTATAGGGTTCCTCGTAAAACGCTCTTTCGTCTGAGTCAAATTAACACAGTTCCACCAGATAAGGCTGCAGCAACCAAGCTTGGAAGAAAATGTGTTTTGGGACCAGAGCTAGAGAAGCTACTAGTTGATTACATTTTAAAAATGGAGTCCAAATTTTACGGGCTCACAATGACATATCTGAAGCGCATGGCTTATCAGTTGGCCATAAGGAATAAAATCAAACACCCATTTTCTATATCTGGATTAGCAGGCAGAGCCTGGATTGAGTTGTTTTTAAAGCTTTTTTGACCTCCTTGAAAAGCAAATGCCCTATTCCCCGAACAACGTTTATAATGTAGACGAATCAGGGTTAACAATTGTCCAAAGTAAAGTATCGTCAGTAATAGGGCTGAAAGGCAAACGTCAAGTTGCTTCATTAACATCAGCAGAGAGAGAGAGGCTCTGATTAGAGTTATTTTTTGTATGAGTGCAGCTGGAAACTTTGTCCCTCCCTGGGTTATTTTTCCTAAGAAAAATATGAACATTCAGCTCATGAAGGGAGCTCCTCCTGGGTCCGTAGGAATTGCACATCCATCCGGTTGGGTACAGTCCCATATTTTTACCCAGTGGTTCCGTCACTTTATCCAGTACACTAACCAACTGAAGAAACCCTCCTTCTGTTAATCCTTGACGGCCATTACAGCCACACTCGCAATATCGACGTTATCGGCCTTGCAAGGGAAAACCATGTTAACATTTTATGTTTACCTCCTCACTCGACGCACAAGCTCTTTGGATAAGTCATTTATGGGGCCATTAAAAGTTTATTGTAGTGAAGAAATTCGTATTTGGATCCGTCAAAACCAACGGGCTCTTAGTCCTTTTGATACAATGGAGTTATTTAGTAGAGCTTACGAAAAAGTTCAGACATACACAATAGCGGCTAATGGTTTTCGCACCACTGGTATTTATCCTTTTAACAGGAATGTTTTTTCCGAAGCTAACTTCATTGCTGCGGAACAAGAAGCAGCGAAAAGTGGAATTACTATTAACATTCAAGAAGTTAAAACAACAAAAGCTTCTACTGCCCTATCGATAAACCTTCATGCTCTAAAACGTCATGCGAATACAATGCACCTGGTCGAATTCAAGCTGTTGACCAAGATCAAGATGAAGATGACCAAGACCAAGATGAAGATGACCAAGGCCAAGATGAAGACGTAGATTCAACCCAGAAGTTTGTTTCATCGTTCGAAATATCTCCAGTCCCAAACACAATCCGCAAAAAAACTAACAGAGGACGCAAGACAATTGGATCTATTGTGATTACCTCGTCACCTTACAAAGACGAACTAAATGAGACAATAAATAAAAAAACTGAAAAGAAGGCAAAATCGCGTGGCGTTAAAAGAAACTTGTCTTCAGGAAAATCCTTGAAACAAAAAAAAGATTCTCAAAAACAGGAGAAGTCAAAGTACAAAATGAAACGTCAAAAGAATGCAGTTTCTGCGAAGATGTAAAAATTGACGATTCTGACAACGATTCGGAAGATATGCCGGGACAACTGAAACCGAATGAGGATGATGCTCATTGCATGTTTTGCGATAGTTCGTTTTCTGCTGATAAGAAAGGAGAACTATGGGTCCAATGTTTAATGTGCTTAAAATGGGCTCATGAGTGTGGAGGCGCCGAAAAAGACGAATATATTTGTGACTGGTGCAAATAATATGTAGATATATAAAGTATTCCATATTTCCCCCACCTTTTCTAAGGTGGGAATTTTGTAGTTTTTTTTTTCTAACTTGTATTTTGAAAAAGTGTTTAAGATAATTACACATTTGCTTTTACATTTTGGTGTCTAATTGTCTAAAGTACCTTTTCCCTAAATTTGGCTTAAATCTATTCACTAAGAAAACATTTTTTATATACCAAACAAAACGGTATTCCATATTTGCACCTTTTCCTCTATTATCGTAACATTACCCAATAAAAAGTTATATTTTGATTTTCAAAATGTGGTCCGTCTCTTCTCCACTTACATGTATGTCTTTTACGTTTTGTAGACCAAAACTGTTGTTTGGACACTCAATAAATATCATGTAAACGTCAAACTTTTAGTGACAATTTTCGAAAATTAATATTTAAGTGCCGTACAGTTTAGTTTTTTGAACTCGATTATTAATAAATAATAATAAACGGTTCAAATTTATGAATATTGTGGTCACGATGACCATTTCCTGTCTAATTCGATTCGGAAGTCATATATGGTGTGTTCAACTACGCTTACTAATTTTTTATTTCATCAATTTTATTGTACCCGAGCTATTCAAGTTTCGAGTTATATATCTATACGTAAAAATAATTATTTCCAACTATTTACCAGGGATGTTCGATATTTAGTCTAGAATTTCTTGTATTCTTCAAATAATGAACATAAAATGAATAAATCAAATCATTCAAATTGACAAGTGACGTAAGTGACACAAGAACATGACTTTTTAACAGACGAATGAGAATGTCAGTTTTGCCAACTTTTAAAAACAAATGCAATGTGACCAACGTAAAAATTTAAACATACACGGAAAAAAATGTGACTAGAAAATTTTACTACAATGTTGTAGTAGTAGACTTGTAGAAAAATACTTAACAATTTGTAGAAAATTTTACTACAATTTATAGTTAAAAACTATTCATTATTGTAGCAATTGAATTGTCGAATAAAATGCTACAACAATAAGAAAGAATTCCACAATGTTTAGTATATTTTACTATTGTTTGTAGAAGTAGAAATTTATTACAATTATCGTAATTACTACTACTAACTTCTGAAAAAATTTGTACAAATATTAATAATTATCTCTACAAAAAATAGTAATTTTCTCTACAAAAAATAGTAATTTTCTCTACAAAAATAGTAATTTACATCCCTTCTTACGAAAAAAATTCAATTTTGTTCAAAAATATTCTATAATATTGTAGAAATTCTAAGTCATGTGAACAAAACAGAATTCTGCTATTGGCCAACGTTTTTTGACGTCGATCATAAATGGCCAGACAGCAGTAGCCGTTCGCCATGTTCACATAACAAAGCATGGTACATATACGAGTACCTATAACACATTATTATATTATAAGCACCGATGCGTTTGAGGCAATTTTAATAATAAATTCTATTGGTGGTAAGTACATTTATTATTGTTTCTGAATAATTTACCTTTGATAACTAATTTAAATAACCTTAGTAGATTATTTTAAAAAAAATAGTTGTGGCCAACGATCGAATGTTGTGCCCAACGATCGAATTTTGTGCCAAATTCAATGATGTTTTTTTGTCTTAATTGTGACATACCTACTTTCTCATTTTTGTTAGTTATCTGACTTAGTCATTTAATATCCAAATCAGTGTAAAGGTGATAAATATCCCCGTTTTAAGGGTATGAACAGTTCAATTGTTATTAATTTTTATTTCATATTTTTCAGGTGCAGAAAAGCCAACTGAGACTGAGGGTGCTTTTATTACTGTTATTTATTACATAATGTAATTAAGACTTTGTATCTTTTATATTAAAACAATAAATTGAATATT